GCACACCGTTCCGCCATGGCTGCCGCCGCGAGATGATGTACTGAGGATATTTCTCGTTCGCATACTTGTCGGCACCATGCACGGCGTCGGAAAAGGACGTTGTCGTGATGAGCACGCGCGGAGTCGCATAGGGCGATTTGGCGCGGATGGACGAGGGCAGCCGCCGCGTCTCAGTGACATGCCAATAGACGGGCTTCTTTTGCCCGTCTTCGTCGACGACGTCCTGGTCCCGCTCGAGCCGAAGGAACGTGCCGTAATCGGACGACAGGATATACTTGAACGGGTTCACCTGAACCCACGAGTTGTGGCTGAGACTGTAGATGTGTCTCTCGCCAGACGTGTCCGAGATGAGGTCAAAGACGGAGTCGTACTCTGTAAAGGTGACGCGCTGCGGCACACCCTTGGGAAGCGTGGCTGGGGAGCGGGGCTTGTCTGCGTCGTAGACGAGGTCTTTGCGCTTCAGCTCGTCCTCCTTGCGCTCCTTGGCGTCTTTCATGTCTGCGACGGTGGCCCCTTGGACAACTTCCTCTGGATCGAGGCCAAAAAGGGTCGGCACTGTCACGATGCCCGTCTCGAGGCTCGACACCATGTCGATGATGTGGCAGTCCTTTTTCCCTGCGTGCAGCCGCATGCCACGGCCAATCATTTGCACGAGTAGGTTGCGTGAGCGCGTGGGCCGCGCGAGCACCACGCAGTCAATGTTGGGGATGTCAGTGCCCTCTGTAAAGACGCCGCAGTTCAGCAGGACGGGGAACTCGCCGCGCTTGAAGGCGTCGAGGGTCTCGCCACGCTCGATTTTGGGCGTCTCTCCCGTGACGAAGCGCGCGTCGAGGCCGTGCTCGCGGTACTTTGCTGTCAGCCCGGCGACGTGGTTGAGGTCGACGCAAAAGACGAGCGTCGATTTGCGCTCGGGCGCCTTGGCCAGCCACGAACGCACCGTCACTTCGTTGACCTGGTCGGTGTTGACGGCCTTGGACAGCTCCGAGGACACAAAGTCGCCGCCGCCAGACATCTTGCGCACCTGGGTGATGTCGGCGGTGGACTTGACGGTGGTGAAGAGGACGCCCGAGAGCCACTTTTCGTCAATCATGTCGACATAGTCCTTGTGGTAAACGATTTCATCAATGGCAGCGCCCAGTTTCAGGCCGTCGAAGCGCGAGAAGGTGGCTGAGACGCCAACGAGGTGTGGCGAGTCGGGCCGCTTCTGGTCGAGGCCAAAGTGTTTGAGGACCTTCATGTAGCCTGACGCAACAATGTGGTGAGCCTCGTCAACGAGGATGAGCTTGAAGTTGCGCGGGTCGTACTTCTCAAGCCGGTCCTCGCGCTGGAGGCTGGCTACACTGGCGACCGTGATGTCGGCAACGCCACTGGATTTTGTATTGGCCATGTCGATCTCGACGCTCAGCGCCGGATATGTGTTGATGCAGTGTCTCGCTGCCTGCTCAACCAGTTCGCGGCGATGTGCCAGAATCAAAGTCTTGGTGGCTTTTTTGGAGCGAGGCTCAATGTGCTGGATGAGTTGAGTAAAGATGACCTTGTTTCATAGATTGTAAGCAATGGTCCCTTGTCGGCCAAGATGCTCGCATGCTGCTTCGTTCAAGGCATGGGCCCAACCCACCGTTTTACCACCTCCCGTGGCCAGTGATATTCCCACTCGTTTGTGCCCGTTGCTGAGGGCAGACACGACAGACTCGATACATTCCTTCTGGTATTCGCGCAGCTGCACAGGCTGCGCAGTCGTCTGCGTCGCATATGGCCTTGTGGCTACCAGGCAGTTCAACTTCAGGCTAGCGCCGAGAATTCTTTGGTCATGGCTTGGTCGCACAAGAGGGAAAGCCCTGCACGTGCGCAAAAGGGCGGCGCGCTGCTGCAGACATGTCGACAATGCTGGAGCAGCCGTCTTCAAACGCCCAGGCGCGCGTTGCAGCATATCTGTGGCCTGCCTCAGCCTCGTGTCTGGTTCGATGTTGCGGAAGGAAGGAGAAGGCTGTGGTCGGTAAGGCTGAGAGGCTGAGAGGCTGAGAGGCTGAGAGGCCTGAAGCGTCTGGGCGCTCCAGCGGCGAGCCACACAGTTCTCGTCGCGGATCCCTGCGTCATTGCTAGTTGAGTACAGTGCGAGTAAATTGTATTTGCACTGTTCTGCTGCATCGTCACTGCACTCTAGAAGCACGCTAACTTTTCAACCCCTGCCGTTGATGCAAACACGCCTATTCGTTGTACGGACTTTCACGAAGTTGTCTTGCCGACCAAGTCTTGCAGATCAACAACATTCACACTTTCTCCTGCCTCTCCCCACAACAAGGAATTCTCAGCCCAGGGACTTCTCGTCAGCGAGTACCGAGACATTCTCCCACAGTCCAACATCGCCTCATGACCCAGCGATAACGACTACGACCCCAACAAAGCCGTGGAACAACCCGCATCAAGTGAAGCGCCGTGCGGCGCCTCATCTGGCCCATGGCTTCTTCTTCTTCTGATGACGACGACATCATGAGTGACGCAGGCCACCATACGATGGACGAATTGCTAGACGCAGATGGCGATGCGTGGATGCATAGGCCCTCCACGCCGGGAAATGCTGCCCATCAAAGACCAGCCGAGATCGAAGAGACGCCGCCGAGCCAGAGGCCCAGGACTCGCAGCAGGACCAGGCCGCACAATGCTGTAACTTCTGATGCATCAAATGGAGCCTTTGCTTCTGCTACTGCTACTGACGTGGAAGAAAACGATGAGCAGCTTGACGAAATGCGTCCGCCCCGCGAAGACAGCCCAGAGATTGGCGAGGGCTCTGGAGACGAGTGGGCAGAGTCGGGTGCGGGCGGACGTCAAATGGGTTCGTCTCTAGATGGGATCATCAAGTCTTCCAATGAAGGTGCAAGTGATGGGGGAAACAAGCTGCCCGAGATAGTAGACTGGTCTGTGGGACAAGCGCCAATAGCAGGTCAGCCCTCTCCAGAGGCGCAAGAGGATTGGTCAAGCGAAATCAACAGCACCAGACTTTCACCAGATCCAGCAAAGAAGCAAATTCTGAGCGAGGAAGAGCAAACGTCAAAGCAGCCCTTGCTCAAAAGGAGACAACCCTCCGAGGAGCTGGGCTCCTACTTCATCTCCGGCCTCGAAGAATTCCGGCCGGCAAAGAGGGCCAGGCCCGTGTTTAAACGTGCTTACCTAGCTCTGCTTAATGAAGACATTGAGCATGCAGCCTCGCGATGTGTCCCTTTTCGATATCGGGCACCCGAACAAACGGCCGGTGAGCTCCAAACGTCACAGATCGGCCTCTCAGTGTGGACTCCCGCAGAAAAAGAACGATTTTTTGAAGCTCTTGGTCGTCTGGGCCGAGACAGCGCTGCTGGGATCGCCGAGAGAGTACAGACCAAGGGCGAGATGGAGGTTCGGCAGTATATAAAGTTACTTCAAACTGCGCTTGCCATTCGCCGTCAGCAAAATGAGCTGGAGCCTCTAACGCTAGCAGAATTTCCAGCTGCATGCGAATTGAGTGAAGCATGCTGTGAGGCCCTAGACGATGCAGCAGACGCAATCGCAGAGCGTCAAGGGAGATTTGAGGATGCCGTGGAGGAAGAGGTGCATGGGGATGACTGGCTTGTTTCGCAGGATAATTTGGATGACATATCCGGTACCAAGCTAAAAACCGAGGCATCCCAGACGACAAATATCTTCAACTTGCATAAGTGGCTTTCGCTCTCCGAACGTTTCTTCATGAATGCCCCGGCTGAGAATGGGAATTGGCAATTAATGAATGGTGGAGAAGACCGGCCAGCCATCCGGCTGACCACGTTGGAGGATTTCCAATCTCTGGCTGTCACACTGACAAAACGCTTAGTGACGGCGACCATTTACATGACCTCTTCCCGCTTGCGATCAGAGCGCGGATACAAGCCCAAAATGGTCAACGAAGTCAAGACCAAAGATGTACACGCCGCGGCTCAGTCACTCGGGCTAGCTGTAACAAGACCACTGTTGACCGAATGCGTCAAACGCTTGGGGTTGAAAGTTTACGAAGAGCCGCCAAAACCCGACGAGTTCGAGGAGAGCATGCCACTGTCTCTTGGAGAACTCGAGGCTGCACTTGCCATCAAGAGACGCCCAGAGCTCCACAAAGGGAGACGCAAAATGCAAAGTACTGCACTATCCTCAAACGAGACCTCATCGATTGCCTCGTCCGTCTTAGGCGATAGTGACTCCGAGGGAAACTTGCATGATATTTCGATGCACGGAGCGATTGATAGTGAAGAGGAGGAGGAAGTTCGACAAGAAGCACAGGAGGCGATTATTTACTCGGCAGTAGACCCGCCCCAGAGCAAGAGGGCGCGTCAAACGCTGTTACGCCGGATCAAAGCAGAGAGAGCGGCAGAGAGGCATGCTGATATTGTGGATGCGCTGGCCAGCTACGAAGAGGAGAAGCGCATGTGGGAGATGCTGGCAAGGGAGCCACCAGAACCTATGGTCAAGCCTGATCCGCCATCACCTGTCAGGAAGCTGAGGATTCCGGTAGACGCTGGGTATTCCTCAGGAGCGGACTGGAGAGGTGGTGTGTGAAGTCTTGCTATATATACCTAAAGTTACCAACGTATATACTCGAAGGGCATGAGAACTGTGCAATTGCAAACCGTGAAGCTCCTGTACGGCCAAGATCATCAATGAGAAGCCCATGATACCTGGAGTGCACGTGGCTACAGAGCAAGTATTGACCCGTTTGGCTATAAACCAACTTTTGCGGGCGATTTACCACATCAGAATGCGATAAGTTGGAATTCGAATTTCGGTCTTGAGGTCCAGTGGTGTGATCTTACTTGGGCAATAATGAATGCTTCCAGCACCCCAGATGTAGACATATTTTATATCATTGAAGAATACATTTGCAAAAGTAAGATGGTAGTTTCAGGACAATTAGGGATGAAAAGAATTGAATAATGAAAAAGAGGAAGAAGCAAAGACAATATATTTGCAAATGACGAGGGAGGCGTAACAACATCCTGATCGGTCTTGTGGTCTAGTGGTATGATTCTTGCTTAGGGCATAACCCTAACCCTGATTGCAAGAGGCCCCGTGTTCGATCCACGGCAAGACCCGATTCGTCAGCTTTTTGCATACTCGCTTCGGTTGTGTCCAATTTTTTTGTATTTCGGTTGAACGCGGAGATTCAGAGTGTGGGAGGTTGGGTAATGGCGAGTTATAGTGAAAGGGGAGCAGGAACATTGGTATTGATTGGTAGGAGGGGAGGACTTTTGAGCCGTGCGAGGACGGTGTTCTGATGACAGGCACGGTGTCCGCTGTGGTGGCCAGCCATATTATTGACAAGCAGCCGAGATTAGCCAAGAGACTTGTTAGATAGCTGACGGTTGGCATTACGAGGCAGTTGGAGTGCGGCGTGTGCAGTGCCTGGAAATGGTGTATGGATACTTGACGAGTGTCTATCTCAATCCAATCGCACATTCTTCTTCATGGGCGGCCTCGCAGCCTTGCAGTTGTCGCTCGTGGCTCGTATCGATAACGATGCAGTACCCCGGATTGTCACATGCAGTATGTACGGTGCGATGCATCGTGCGGCTCCTTCCTTTCCCCCAAGAGGCCGCAAGTCCCATTCCGGCATGTGCGGGATCAAATGAGTTGAGACATGTTCGCGTTTGAGAGAGCGTGGCACCCCTCCCCTTGCTCCCGAATTTGACTTTTGGACCTTCAGCCAAGCCACCTCTCCCTTATCCTCTTTTCTCTTCCTTTCATTCTTTCTTCTTTCCTTCCATTCGAACACCTGGTACCCTAGGACTGCACTCCCGGTCTCTCGCTCTCGCGTCGCAACCCCGAGTCTTACTGCACCTGATCATCTGGATTCCGCATTCGCAACCCTGATATCGACACTTTATCACGCAGTCTGGCGCAACGAAGCCCAAGCAGCTTGAGCGCATTGGAAGACTCGACGCACCAAAAGTCATTTACCTAAGCCAAGCCTCGTCACTTCTCACAGCGTGGCACTCATCCGCCTCACAGGTATCTAGCAATCTTCCGTCTGCTAGAATCGCCGACCCTTACGCAGCCCAGCACCACTGTCGATCCTCATCAAAGACCGTGAACTGACCGGACTCCTTTTGCGCAACTTCACGCTTTGCTGACTGTCTACGACTGTTCACTCAACACCACAAGCCACAGCAGCGCTGCAACATCATCAGCGATTCAAGTCCATCTACCAAAGCATCCAAAATCCTAAAACCATTTCCCCCCCCCCCAACATTTCTCTCTATACAACCGAAACGAGAAGTAATAATGTCGTCCAAACCCAACGGTCCACCACCCTCCTACTACGGCGGTCCCAGTGACGCTGCGGGCGTCGGCCCACAAGCCCCTCAAGCAGCCTACTACAACAACAACAACCAATACCCTCCTCAAGGCGGACCACCACCCGGAGCATACCAGCAACAACCTCAGATGGGCTACTATGGTCAACCGCAGCAGCAGCAACAAGGCGGTTTTTACCCACCACAGCAACAGGGCGGATACCCACAATACCAACAGCAGCCACCACCAGGCGGATACTACCAGCAGGGTCCTTATGGGCCTCAACAGGGACGGTACGAGGATCAGAGGGGTAATGGTGCCGGCGTAGGCTGTCTGGAGGGCCTGTGCGCCGCTATGGCTTGCTGTTGCTGTTTGGAACTTCTCTTCTAAAAATCAACCAACAAACACCAAAACCGAAAACCAAACAAATGGAATGGAAAGGAGTGACAGGGCAGGGCTTTGATGCGTATGTATATGAGGGCGCACACATACGTGTCGAAGTCTACACACCGTAGTACGAACACAAGATGGCCAGATGGTGCAACGTGTGAATTGTCATTTTGGGAGCCGAATTCTCTTTCCTTTGCATGGCGTTAAGAGGAATATGGACAAGGTGGTCGCCGGTCGGCAACGGAATTATTGGCCACTATGATTTTTCTGGGGGGGGGGAGAGGGGGTTGAAGGTTCAAGTTGCAAGACTCGATCGTGGGTGCGCGGTGCTTTAATGCAGCAACATCTCTGTAATTCAGAATGACAGATACATCATCTCCAGGATGCTGGCTATACTTTTTTTGTCTGTTGCGGTCTCTGGTTGTGCTTATTCTTACACTCTCACAAACGAGAATAGATTGTAACATTCAAACGCTCATATATAATATCGTTGTTCATCATTTAAGCATACTTTCTGATCTCTCACCGCTATGCAATGTAATGTGGTTCTAGGATTCTTAAAACTCCGTGACCGTGGTACTGATTCAGCCATTGTAGGAAATCAACCGTCAGGTATATCAAGTACAACCCTCTCATCCGTCCATTCTCTTTCTTCTTCTCTTGTATTTCTTTATCGCAGCAATGGGTATTAAAACCAGGACCTTTCTCTCTCTGTGTGTGTGTGTGTCTGTCTGTCTCAAACCAATCAACGTCGCTCGCTTGTCGGAAGGGGGACAAGGACCCTTATCTGTTCATTGAGGTGTTTCGTAAGAGGAATCAAGGAGGCGCTCTTTTTTGAATCCATGGATGGAATTGATCAAGAAACCGACCAATTCATAAACAAAAAGAAGAAAAAAAATCTACAACTGAATAATATCCTCCTCGGAGAAATCCGGTGGCGCTTGTCCATAGATAACACTGCACTTTGAGTCCAGCGCAGTGCCCTCGTTGCTGATCCGGATATGCACACTGTAGTCATTCGTCCGGCGCACCTCGTCGTCCGACACGCCAATATCATCACGCGGGATCCAGACGACTGGGCGGCGCGCCCGCAGCGCCGAATGCGTAAAAGCCTTGCGAATCTTTTCGTCACGATCCTCGGGGTTCAGGTCTTCGATTTCGTCCGCATAGTTGCCAAACAGCGCATCGCCAATCGCCCGCTGGTTCTCGAGGTCGCGTACAAACTTATTGCGACGCGACTGGGCGATTCTCTTGACCTTGCGCTCGGCTGTGCCGTACGTATTGTCGAGCACTGCGTTACTGGTACCTGCTACCCACGTCTTGGAGTGCTTGATGATGCTAATGCCGCCCGAAGAGGTCTTTTTGTGATGCTTTTTCGCAGAATTGTTGTTCTTCTCTTGGGCGTCAAGCTCGTCGAGCTCGTAGTGGCCGTTGTCAGTACTCGCAGCGCTGTCCGGTCGTGCACTGTTGCGTCCGCTCTTTTCTTCCTTCTCCTCGTCGTCGTTGCTGCCCTGGATGCGGCTCTCGAGCTTAATCTTTCTCCGCAACAACTCCTCCTGTCTATGCTCTATAGCGTGTCGTGTTTCGCCGCTGTAAAATCCTTGACCTTCCAACTCTTCTCTTTCATTGCGCAGCTCTTCTTGTTCGCGGTCAATCTCTTTGATTTGACGCTCAATCTCAAATACCTCGTCTCGCAATACAGCCTCATCTTCGAAGGTGATAGGCAAATGAGTCAGTAAAGGACCAAACTCCCTGTTCAAAAAGATCTGATACAGAGCAGTCAGGAAGATTGCCACAATCATAATGATGCCCTGCTTGTAGCACAGGACTGTGCCGTTGTCACTCTGCACCAAAAAGAACAAGCCAATCAAGCACAATTCCATCACGTATAGTCCAGTGAACATCTGGTTCAGCGCTCGGGGGTATAGCTTTCCGCCAGTGTCTGTCTTGAACCGGGTGACGTAGAGCATGTTGTAGCGGTGGGCGCACCACAAAAGGCTGAAGTTGATAACGGCAAAGATACTCATGATGGGAGCAATGACGGAAAAGACAATGGCGATGCAGGCAAAGTTGGTGTAGACGGGGAAAAAGGAGCCCCATTTGACGTTAGGAAGCGAAGTTTGACGGACAAACTTTGCTCTTGCGGTGCTGTCAAGAATTCTCGATAACAAATACCACATTGCCTATGAGATCATGTTAAATCCATTTCAGAACGGTTCAAATAAGGAGCAACAAGATGTGACATACCAAAGCAGAGACCTGCAACAAGGTTCCAGAGCTCACAGAAGCGCCCTGGAGCACCAGGTAAGAAAAGAAGTAGTTTGAAGCATCAGGCAAATTTTGTGCCAAAAGCGTCGGCAGACCCTCAATATTGGAAGCGACGTTGGCAATCGTCTTGAGAGCCCCAGAGGTAATGGAGACGACCAAGAAAACTTCGACAAAGAGGACTGTGTCGGTTTGAATCAGTAATTTGTTCCGAGACCACAATTTCGCAGACCATGATGAACGAGACTTACAAAAGAAGTAATAGACTTGAACCCACTCGGACCGGGCAGCGCCCGTCTTGACACCTTGAAACTCGGCAATCATGTTCAAGACGACAGGAACCAGGGCTAGGATAATGGCCAAGAAGGCTTGGGGCAAGACGCCTGCTGCCAGCTTAACAAATTTGTACACAGAAGCATTCTCGTTCAAGAAATGAAGCCATTGGTACTTGGCGATCAGAGTATCAATCTCGGAAAGAGAGGCAGAGAAGGCCACAGGGAAACCCCAAAGGATAACCATGCCAAATACTGCGCCGCAGGCTAGCATAACTCGAACCCATTGTACCCACCAGCTCTATGAAGTACTGTTAGTGTACTTGTCATTCTTACCGACCTTTGGATTCTTTGCACTGGCGCAATTTACCAATGCCAAGCAGACGAACGAATGATCTGGAGGATAAGTGTATAGATACGTACCATGGCCATATTGTCCCAGATAACGTCCTCAGGACTAACTTCAACGACCCTAGGAGCCATGTGCTTGGGTACATGGTGAATGACACATTGGCATGCCATGTGTGCGGCAGACTGGTTGTTAAATTGGATAAAGGCAGACGTCATCTTGGGAAACCGCTGAGGATTCATTTGGTCGTGTTCGATTTCGACATTGAGACGTGCGAGTTCTTGCCGGCACCAGTAGATCGTATCGACTTTCTTGTGGATGAATGGAAGGCCAGGAAGCCAACCAGGTGTGAAGTCAAAAAGCGGCAGACGATGGTGCGGCCTGTCCTTTTCCTTGATCCACTTCTCCCATTGGGAACCAGGCGCTTCTTGGTAAACCTCGGTCTGGTCAGGATTGACGTATGGGGGATACTCGACAGGGTCCTCATCGTTGCCCGTGAACGGTATGTAGTGCTTAATCTTCT